CTCTAGAACAAGAACTTTACAAACTTGTTTTTTTCAAAAGCAGTACAGTAAGGTCTCAGCCTTTTTTTTACAGCTGACATATGTGTATATTATTTTGTAACAAAGGAATCTGTCAGCTGTATTGGACTGTTTATTACTTTGACAAGTTGATTTTGACTTTTTGTGGATGATTTGTCAAGATTAGCTTTTATTTACAGGGTTTTATGTTCTAAGATGAGGTGAAAGTAAGAACAGCAAATATATCTTTTTCCCTGACATCTCCAATAATTTTACCTGGTCAAATGTTTGGATACATGGAGCTGCAGTAAAAATGCATGATTAGTACACTCCCTTGTGGATTATGAACAGAAAGCATGTGCTGGGCTTGCACACAGCCTGTGATTTACTCACAGCCGCATACAAAGGTATTCGTTCTTTCACTCCAGTGTCTTTAGTGTCCTTTTCTCATTAAAGAAGACAGACACCAATAGATAATGAAACAAGTCTGTTCTGCAAAATACAGATCTGGCTTTTAAGGCAAACATACTGACCTAAGCACTTAGAAGACAACTTTCAGAAATGTTCTTGTACAAGGAAAATATGCTGTGATTACAAAGTTATGTATGTAACCCTCATTACAAAAAGTTTCACGGTGATGGATTTTGTATTGGATAAGTATTAGCAGAAATAGTTCTGTAATATATTTTAAGGGTAATGAGTTTAAAGTTCCAAGTGTGGCGTAAAATGATAATTCAGTGTGTTACAACCAACATAAACTGGATTTTAACAAATGAACAGAAATTTCATGCTTCTTAAAAGAAGACAGAGTAAATTCAGAGCTAACAATTGAAGCACCTACAGGGCAGCTGATCAATCCAACCCACCCAGTAAGAGTGAAAATAACAGGGTTTTATCATGAGCTTTGCTATTTTAAAACATAAATGCCAAAAGCAATTTTGCATCAGATTCCTGTTCATCATAAAGTTACTGGATTTACTTAATACATGGCCACAGCAGTAAGACATTATCTCAAACAAATGCAGCTCAGCCTCACGTGCTTGTTTTAACGATTTTTTATCAAATTCCTGAGTTTACTTCAGTCTGATGAGCTTTCCGGTTTGGTGCAGTGCTGAGAAGTGTTTTGGGAGCACTGTGTGCACAGCAAGAAGTGAACTGCAGCCTCAGTAGATGGCACCCTTCTCTCTGACTGCAATATCTTCAGACTATGGGAAGCACAACAGAACTACACAGCCGAGGCTATTCAGCAAGTCCCGAAACAGGCCCTGAGGTTCAGCCTGTCCCACAAGCAATGTGCAAGCAATGTGAGAAACCCTTTCCATGTCCATGAAGACCAGTGGAAATCCACTGACAGAAATGTAGCCCCAGGGAGAAGGACTCGCTAGCAGCCTCTGGGGCCACCAATAATGGCTACGCAGCATGAAGCATGTGGCTTAGCATAATTTGCATGCATATACATACGTATATGAGATATAAATTCATCTAATAACTGATATATATCGGGATTCAGGCCTTACCAAGTCGTACTACTGTACATTTTAAACACTATTCAGTGTTGTGAGTATAAGGAGACAGCAGTACATCATCTTGCTTGCAACCCCAATTTGCTGGTTACAAGAGCTAGCTAGCAACCTTTGAAAAAGGGCTGAATTATTAAGATAATGTCAGGGCTTACTGGTGATTAAAGGAAGTCTTCTACTAATCACTAACTTAATGAAGATTCGAAATTAGATTTTCTTTACACAAAAATCTTTTTAGAAATTGAATAGGTGTGAGATTTATAATTTTTTTCCTGTTGGTTTTATTGCATGGCAGGCACAGTTCTGTAGGGTTTTTTTATTCTGAGACTGTATTGAACTAATGCCTTCCTGAAAGAGGTGTATGAAATAATCAATAGTTTGTGATCATCTGGTTTTAGTAAGAAGTGCCACGACAGGTTACATGTAAGTTGAGCACATTTTCAAAATACAGAAGGGGCACTTTTGTGGCAGTATTTTCTACAGTCATGAAATACTCGAGTGCTCTGTGTTCTGGTTTCTTTCTTTGATCTGCTCTGCCTGGGTCAGAAAAGCTTCACCTGGAGCAGATCAAAGAAAGTCTGAGCAATGCTTCTTCTTCCCTGACCTATCTTTCCTACACTTCCCTCTTCTCTATGGTGCTTGAAATCACAAAAAGAAGGGAAGTGAGGGCATCCCTCCCCCACAGATTGCATCTCCTCCAATCCCCAGCGTAGATTTTTTCATCTTCATCAGAGCAGCTTGTCTAAGCACAAGGCTTAAAAATTTCACAGTGTTTTAATGAAAGTGACCGTGAAATCTGGTCTTTAATGTTTATATCCTTTTATTTATGTATTTATTTTTTGTATAAACTTTTCCAATGAACGATAAAGACACTCTAAACGGCTAAACAAATTCCTTCCTAAAAAATACATTGCTAAAAACAACAATTCTGGAATATCTTTGTACTTGCTATTTGAACTGATAATTAAAAGAGAGCTTCATTTGGTTGAAAAAAAAGATATTCAATACCACTCTGGTGCTTCTGATCTATGAAAATATTAGAACATTTTGTAATTTACTTTGAAATGTTTTTGCTGCGGTTATCTGATAGCTTGATTGTGGATGATGGATACTGGGTATGTCCTGCTGACATTTTGCCAGCTTCAAGGGTGCATCAGCCTGACACAGCTGTGTCTGCTGGGCCAGTAAAGAAGCAGTTAACCATGTGAGGGTGGAACTGCATATAGGGGCGGGAGCTGTGGAAAGGTTTGTCGCAGTTTTAGTGAGGGAAATGGTAAGGAATTGACCTTACTTTAGCTTGGCTGGTAGGGAAGGCAGGCTTTCTCTACATCAGTGAGTGGCTGCATTTCTAGATATTATTTGAAAGCATCTGGCAATACTAATGTGCAAAGAATTTACAAGCAATGGTTAAGATGCATAAATCATAGGGAAAAGTGATTAAAAGTTACTTTTGTATTACTTGTATCCAACATTTCAAGCTTCAGATTATGTATACATTTTAAGAATTTCTCAGGAGTTACTAATTGAAGACAATGGACCAATATTTCCTCCTATTTGTGCCAGTGTAAAACTTGGGCAACTCCATTGTAACCAACGCCTGAATTTGGTACATCCCATCACTGGAGACATTCAGTCTGAATGGATATTTTGAGAGTAAGCATTATTAACTTTGCATATTTGAGACAACAACTAGGAACAAAGGAATTGCAAGCATAGGAATGAAATTGCATGCTCCAAAGTGATGTAAAAGCCTTTCCCTGATGTATCAATTTTAAAATATTTCAGACATCTCTTACCTAGGAGCTGCAGACACATTTACAAGTCAGGAAACCAGGCAATGGAACTTGGACTGCTACTGTCAATTCTGCAAAACTGAAAGTTCAGCCTCCCCTTTTTCTGAACAATTTATTCTGGCTTCCTTACATCTGCAAGAGATGGAGGAGATAGAGATGTTTCCATGCCTGATCTGAAATATGTTCAGAAGAAAATTTTGTACTGAAATTTGCCTAAAATTTAATTGAAAAATAGTGGAATCTGCATCTATTAGGGAACTCAGGCTGACTTCTACAGTAGAAATCCCTGGATCTTGCTAGTTCAATAGGAATGTTTTTCCACAAGCTGAGATTTGATCCTTTTTACTAAGAGTAATTCCAAAGGACATTAATTGACATATTTCTTAGAATGCATTTAATAAACAATATTTTGACAACCATGGAAAACATATCACTGATGTGAAACTTCATTTCCACTTAAGAAGTAGTATTTATACCAATGTATGAATTAATTATTTAGATTCTGAGTGAAAACCTAGCAAGAGAGGCTGTGAAAAAGAATATCTTATTGTGATCAATCAAAAATATTTCCACAGCAATCACTGCTACAAATCTCCTTCCCTTTTTTTCTATCAAGAAATGTGAAGTTTTTTACTCCGTTTCTTACAGTTAAACAATAATTTCAGCTGTTCTATTGACACCATTGAAAGACCCCAGAAAGATCTCACTTGTCCCCACTGTTAAGATCTTTTACCTAAGTTTGATAAAGAACACATTGTATTTGTCTGAAATTGGATATGCAAATGCATATGCAAGCCTAATAATAACATATACTCTTTACTTACGTGCATTTCATTAAAATGCATATATACACATTTGGACATTTGGAAAGTGTGGGATAACGTGGTTTTACTGTCAGTTCTACTTCAGAACTACGAAACTGCAAATTTCCATTGAAGAAACCCTGTGCTTACTGCAGAAAACAGCAAGCACATAAAAATATGCATGCTTATATGCAGCATTGCTGAGAGTAAGAATCAGATCCACAACAATTCCCTGCCAGGCAGTACTCTCTCATCCTGATACACATCTGTGAACAGAGCAAGCTCCTTCTTGCTCTGGTTTAGTCAGTTTTGCAATTCCAGGTCTCCAGCAGCCCAAACTCACCTGGAAATTATAGGGTTCATCACCACATTTTGAACCTTCTCAGGGCTGAGGTGCACAGCAATGCCTCTAACTAAATCACTGCCTCTCAGTAAATGCTCTAGCTGCAGGTAACAAAATATTCTGGGCAACATTTTTGACCCTCCTTCCAGAGAAACCTGTGGTTCTGTTTTCGAAACTTAAGTGGCTGTCAAATGAAGCAGTTAAAATGTCACTGCAGTGTTTTTGTTTGTTGCAGTAATTGGTATAGTTCAATGGTAGCTCAACAGTTCAGATCTCTAGATTCAAGTTATTCAGATTTTGCAAAGCCTGACCTGCTTTGGAGTTTCCCTTTGGACTTTGGTTTTTGTCCACTGGCTGGCAGCAAGAGGCAAGCAGGAGGTTGTACCATTTTCAGTCCCCAAGAGCGCATGGGCTACCTTTGATTCCTGATGTGGGTCTACTGCTGCCATTGTGTATTTTACGATAAACTGTTTACATAGCAGCCTTTTGTTACAGGTTTTAAATCTTCTCAGGCTGCCAGTTTGAGGCTGAGGCTGCCAGCTGGCAGACAGAGAGGTGCTTGTGCTCCAACTGTTGGAGGTAATTAACAGCCCGAACTGTCAGAAGGTGACAGCCGGCAGAAAGTTCCTGCCCTGGGGTCACAGCTGGATTCCGGCAACTTGCTCCTTGATTTACCAGTAAAACTAATAATGTAAGTAATATCGGTATTAAATTATAAAACAAGGGGGTCTGAGCCCGAGTTAGATTTTCTACCTCCAAATGAACTGGCAAAGAAAATTATCATTAATATAAAATTTGAAGCAAATAAGAAAGATTAAGTCACTTTCTTTGGGAAAAAAAAAATAACGGCCCACTAAAAATTGGGGGGACATAAATATTAGGACGATTGCAGACCATAATACTGTTCAGTTGACATTTACCTGAAATTTTAGAAAATTAAACTAAAATCTAGTATTAGTAATCTGGGCAATGATTACTGGCCACAAACTTTTAATTTAAGTACTATACTCAAAATGTCACATTAGATTTAAATTTGCAGCAAATAACTGGCTATGAATGGAAATGTAGAAAATGTTAATTTTGCTGAAATAAATACTTATTTCTTTTTAAAAATATATTGTTAATTTATCAGACATCGAGGCATGTGTTTAACTTCAATGTTAAGCAAGAGCATAAATACAATGGAGTCAACAAGTCATAAAGTGTTCCTTTTTTTTTTTTTTTTTTTTTTTTTTTTTTAACTGGAGAACAAAATATTAGTTATTGCTTCTTTCAATCCACAACAGAAAAAATACATACATACATGGACAGTCAAATGTTAAGATGCAAACAATGTTAGCATTTGTATGTCTCTGTCTTCTGAAATGTAAGTATCTGATACTTTAATACATGGGGAATGATACCTCCAATGCTTGGGATTAGAAATACTCTTTCTGTCTTGAGTTTCATCTCATAATATTAAACAGTGTAACTTTGATGCTCTGGTTACTCAGAATAGATAGATGTTCTGCTCTATATGTGTCCATAAATGAAATCATGACTCCGGACCTACAGGACTCTTCAGCAGAAGTAATTTGAAGAGTTCAGAAGTTTTGCTCTACATAATTTCTGACATTTTTCTCAAGGACCAAATGCCACAGAAATTACAATCTGATAACATGTTTTCCTAAATTTCTTCACTTAATCAGCTCTGATATGATGTGTCAGTGTTTTTCAGTTTTGAAGAACAGAGATGACAGAGCTCAAGAATGTCATAGCCATTCATTGCATTTTAAATAAGCTTTAAAAAGTTCTTAAGAAAATAAGACAAAACTAATTCGTATTTTAAAGATGAGAATTTTGAGAGTGATAAGATTTTTTTTTCCAGTGGGTGGAAGGAGAACAATGATATTTTTAACAATGTTTATTGGCCAAAAATCTATTCTTTTTGTAGTAAATTTTTCCTCACATTTTGTCTAGCCTGGTATGGTGAAAGAACTTTTCATACCAGTGGGTCTTTTATCTTTATGATATTCTACAGCTATCTTCATCTGCCATAAGGTGGTGTAAATTGGCTTCAGGGAACTATCATGATTGATGTTTGCTGAACATTTGGCCAAGATGTTAATTTGTATTGAACTGTCAGTTACAGGAAATTAAAATTCTTGATCTCTATTTTGGATCTTACAGTGGTTTATCCTGTGTTCCCAGGAAGCTTTAAGATATTGTTCTATATCCTTGAATGATAGCCAGCAAAGCAGCACAGTGATGTTTTCTTACAGTACCTTCACACACACACTTGACAACGAAGTTCCAATTGTGCTGTCCCTTTTGACCTAAACATTGATGTGTGAATAATGATGAATTAGGCTCTTCCTGTTTATGAAGTGCTTTGAAATGCAAGAAAAGTACAGCTGAAATAAATTTTCCTGGTTAAGTAGTAACTCTTTATCAAAAATATGTATACATTTCAGAAACCACCAGAAATGCTAACACACAGTGCATCAAGGAAATAGACCAAAAGAGAAGTTAAAGTATGGATTTACCTGGCTATTAAATATCTGTTTCTGTTGCTCTGGTGTCTTGTGTCTTTCACCATACAGATGGGAAGATACAACAACTCCCTCTTGGTTCAGGAGGTCTCTTTCCAGCCCGAAGTCAGGCCTTCATTAGAGTTCGCAGCCCTGAAACTGGCTGGTTCAGGGTACACACAGAAATCTTCTGGATGTGTGCTGGAGTTTAAGCAGATTCATATGTTCCATGAAAAACTATTGATTCTGAACACTCCAGTTTCTCCAAGGAGTGCTCTATACTTTTCTTTCTAACTTTTGGAAGGCAGGGGGACAAGGAAGGATTTTGTATTACACTGTTTCAGAAAGCATGTTTTGCTGTGGATCAGCCCTCAATTCTTAGTCTCATTGAAAGATCACTCTTGAAAGTTTTACTAGCATTTATAACCATGTTGTGTTTCAATATAATGTTTTTAAAGACCTGATTCCACACCCTTTTAACTTAATGGGAGATTTCTCACTGACAGCAACGGGAATGGGACATATCCCTAAGGGAATATAAACCAACCAAAAAAAAATTCTATTTAGGTTATGTTAGCTTATAAATAAGTTCTCAGCCAATGTAGTCATCCATTTTACAAAACTTTGAAAAAAACTTTTGGTCAATTTTACTTCCCTGCATTGTAACACAGCCTGTGCAGTACAGTTCAAGGAGAATAATTATGAGAAAAATGAAAGAAAGGTGAATGATTTGAAAATTAAAAATCTTAAAAAATAAAAAGTAAAAAAACTCTGCTGAAATTATAGTTGGAATGCCTGAATTGAATGCAACTTTCATTCAGCGGGGGAGCAAACTTCATACTGTGAACGTATTCTTCAGTCCACAAAGAAGTCTTAACAAAGAAATGTGGAGTGAAGAAACCTGCTATAGAATTAAGATTAATGCAATCCAAGAAACCAATCAATGGAAAAATGTAAAAGACTAAATAAAATAATAGGCAGGATAGTCAAATTGAATCACTTTATTCAACATAAAAACTGCTACAGAGCTGTAAAAAGAAAAAAGAAAAAAGAAATCTGTTTAAAAAATAATTTGAATTCTGAATTTAATCTTCCAATGTCTTTTGTTCTCTACAGGCTCCCTTTATTTGTTTCCAAACATCAATTTCTAAGATATACTAGTTCAAATTTTTGTTTTTCAAAAATATTCTGTTTGAATATCTCCCTGGCTGGAATTCATAGTCTCTGAAAATAAAAATGTTAGCAGTTCATTCTGTCACTAATTTAATGTTTCTTGTTTACTATCATCATTCACTTCCACTCCTCTTTTGCCCCCCATTCTCATTCACCGTTTGCTGAAGCAAAGTCACACATATCTGTGGGCAGCAGGTGTTGCATGATATAAATTAAGCCTGCAGAATATCAGATCCTTGATATGACTTAATAATACTGCATGCTGCAGTCATAATTCTACTTTTTTCAGAGCTACCCTGGAGCTGGCACAGCTGTCTGCAGAACTTGCCTTCACATTTGAGACTTTTCCAGTGCTTCTGAGCAGGTTGATGTCCTTGTAGCAGCTATATTTTCTAAGAAGCCTTCAGAAGACAAACAAAAAAACAAAAAAACAGAAGGCATTGTCACATGAGAGTCTAAAGTGGAAAAAGCTTTTCATAAACCAATATAACTTTTAAATGTACAGGATGATATGATTGATACCTAAAGCTATATGAAGAATGGAGAAGCACAGTGCAGATTTATGGTCATGGGAAAAGTTTCTGAAAGAAGAGGCAGAAAAAGTACACAGGAGGAGTTACTCTTATTTTTGACAAAGAGGGAAAAAAACAACTGAGAATGGGAAGATGTAAAGGAATTTTTGCAGCTTAAGAAAGTAAACACTCACTGTTTTAGTTCTGAGCTTTGTCTGTGAAGTTGTTTGGCTCTACTTTGAGGCTCAGCAATGACCTGACATATATTTGTTTTAGCATATACATAAAAAAATAACAATATGTAGGATTAAAAATTAGAAAGATGAAGACATGAGACAGTATCAGGCCCATGTAGTGATCAAATAGATCATAAGAAATTATTCTCTATATCTACATTATTAGTAGAGGACAACTAAACAATAATAAAGTCTGGTAGTCAAAAGGGTTGAAAAGTGAAGTAAATTGTTCAGTTCTCATGAAAGGTAGTTACCTGAGATTGCATAGATTCTATGATTAGCATTAACAATAGGGTAAAAACTCAACTGCCCTGAGATAAAAAGGACCTCACATAGGCTGTGCCTGAATGAAATCCAGTAGATATTTAGGGAAGTGGCAAAGTAATCCTAGAATTATTACAAATTAGAGAATCTGCGGACATCACAGTTCCGGAGCTCTGAAAAAATACAAATGTTGTGCTTACTCTCAGAAGAGAGAGAAATAAGGAATCCTAGAAGAGCTGGTCTGACTTCAAAACACTGAGAAATAAACAAGGCATCTATTTCCAAGCACTTAAAAGATTAACCAGTGATAAGTAATGGCCAAAAATAATGTAACTAGAATAAATATATCAAGCAAGCTAATTCTTTTGTATGACAGGAAGCAAGTCTCAGAAGTAGAGAAAGAGTAGTATATGTGCTGTGTATTTTTTCCATTAAAACAGTCAATACTGTTTTGCATACATGAGAACCTGATTGGAAAGAAAAATAAAGAAAAATAACTCTTTTGTCCAAATATAGTGCAAAGAGTGTAGTTATTGTAGTTATTTCATTAATGACTTAAGTGATACAAAAGGAAGTAAGTTTATTTAATTCTTATGTGATATAAAGCTGGGAGGAATGCAAGCATTTTGAAGGACATGATTAGAATTCAAAATAGGAATGACAAATGGAAGAAATAGACTATAATAAATAGAATGCAATTCTAGTTAGTGAATCAGATTCTCAAATACAGGATGAGAAATGACTTGCTTAGACAGTAGGTCTATAGAAAGGGATCTGGATGCAGGGATCAAGAGTCAAAACAGTGCCACAATTTTAATAAAGCAATTATAATAATGTAAAGTATAGCTATGAGAGTTATGTGTTGAACACATGATTTTGCAATTGCTCTATCAAGGACAAGGTCTAGCATGAAAAAAACAAATGATCAGAGCTTAACAAAATGCAAATTTGAAGGAACAAATATTGTATACTGTCGTACAAAGGAAAAAAATTTAG